GGACGGACTCCTGTCACTCGATAGTTGGGGGTGACCGTATGTATGGCAGCTGGTGCCACTAGGTGGGGAGAGGGAGAGAGAGAGAGGGAATGAAGGATTGTAATTTTTTGCCGGCCACGAAATGGAATTTGTTCATAGCCAATTCTTCATTGTTGTTGTAAATAACAGCGGAAAGCAGTGTCATTCAATTGAGCCCGGCCTGTTTTGGGTCGAGTTATTACAGTGAACTCAAAGCAAAAAGTGGGGACTAGGCAAAACCTGTTCTGTGAGGTGTAAAAAGTAAAAAAATAATGGCAAGCGCCCACCGTGGGGCTCGAACCCACGACCACAAGGTTAAGAGCCTTGCGCTCTACCAACTGAGCTAGACGGGCTTGCTGCTGCTTCACTGAGCTAGGGCAATTTGAAATGGAACCACTTCATTCTCCATTTCCTGGCAAGCCAAAAGAAGTGAAGTTGATACTACAAGTACCTGAAAGCAGGCAAAACATCATCCCTGTGCCACTCCAATTAGCTTAGGACCCGTTTATCTGGCGAACATTTGTTGTGGACAACACCCCAGTTGCCATGCCAACATAACTAAAATTGCATTGCATTTTTGAGGGACTTGTCATGTATGGAAGGAAAAAATGCTAGCGACGCAGTGGCTTTTTTTTCTTTCTTAAATGTCATGCGTTTGATCACGATCCCAACGGCTTTTAGGTCGTTCGCCGGGAGCTCCCTCCCAGCGAACGTTCACCGGTTAGATATACTGTTAGTTTAACAAGTTAGGACTTGGCACTGAAGCGTCTACATCAGCCACAGATTCAAAGTTAATACTTTTTTCTGTTCCAGAATACACTTTATTATGAACGAATCTAATGAAACTAATTTGGTGTTGTAGATGTTTGCATATTTTTCTATGGACTTGGTCAAATCTTAAAAAGTCTGACCTAGGACAAAGTTAAAAATTCAAACATTTCGGAATGGGGGGAGTAAATAATACTCGTACATTTGCATGGCTTTTCTAGAATTAAAGTTATCTCGTACAGTTATAAAAGACTTCTGATATATTGCACTTTACCAACGTGACCTTCGACTGATTTCACCATAAATCATGTTAACTGATGCTGAGCGGCACCGGCCACTTTGCAGCATCAGTTTTCTTCCCAGGTTTTGCCATAAATAAATCACCCAAAAAAGCACATCAAGCCTTTGTAGCAGTATGTTTTATTAGCCACCGATTTCCTTGTGGTATAAAACAAACACCCTGTGACTGGGATGAATCGACAGTTCAACACTGCCCATGTCTACACGACAACAGTTTTGCAAAATGCACAAGATATCAGTACAAAATGCATATTTTTGTGACGCGGCCACTTATTGAACACAAGGCGGCGCGAGCCCGCGAGACTTGGAACCCGTTGCTGATCCATTGATCACTGCAGTTTTGGCTCTGGGCACTCATACATGGTTGATGGAGACCGTTATAGACAATAGGGATGGGTTTCAGTCTCCAATCCCACAGCTACAGCGCCAGAAAGAAACAAGTGCCCTCTGCTGCTACTCTGAATCATTCAGCCTCCTCGAGCATGTCGATGAATCTCCTCCCATCGGGCTTCTGGAAGACTGACCTGTCTAGGTGCAGCTCGTTGGTCGAGACCGCCTCGAATCTTGCCCAGAGCTCCTTCTTGAGAGTAGTTTCGCCGGCGTGCCTTCCCTTCAGGTTGGTGCTTTCCAGGCCTTTCCAGGGAGTGCCAACCAAGGCCCTGCTATGCACTGCTGGGGTCTGGATGAGTTTGTCATCTGGAAGCTCCTGCTTCCCCTTCAGGTTATTGCTTTCCAAGCCTTTCCGGGGAGTACCAACCAAGGCCTTGCTATGCACCGATAGAGTTTGGATAGGATTGCAATCTGAAAGTTTCCGTCTTCCCTCCAGCTTATTATTGCCTTCCCAGCCTTCCCAAGGATTTTCTATCAAGGATTTGTTATCCTTTGCTGGAAGGGGAACGGGCTTATCATCTGTTGGACTTGGATCCATTAGCACGCAGGTCTTGAGGGGCGACAAGAACCAGTCAAGAGCCACATCGGCTTCTTTCCTTCGGCGTCTGTCTCCGGTAGGCTGATTAAACCCATACAGGTCTGGATACCTTGATGCCAAATCCTTCTCATCAGACAGCATTTCATCAGAGGCCCCAGATGGTGGTTTGTCACTCTCAGCCGGTCCAGCACTGAGAATGTCATCCTTACTTGAGCCCTCCGATATCGGTGAGAACACATGTTGCTTACCCCGCAATGCTGTCTTCGGGCATGGAGTAGGCAGTGGTGCTCTCCTGCTCTTCTGAATTGAGAAGCTAAAAGGCGAAAATAGATTGTCTTCTGATGAGCTTTTCTTTGCTTTGCTAGGATAAGGTGTCGCGACACCAGCCCTTGCTTCCTTTCCTTTCACACTTTGCTCCAGATCAGGACTATTGTCATCAGAAATGGTCAGTTTCCAAACAGGTAAATCGGGAAGATTCAGCTCATCCATGCTGGCAGTTGTCCTCAACTGTGCTTTTGATGATCTTGGGCACATGGATGAGCGTGCTTTTGATTTTGGCAATGGTGTCAAGAGAAATAACTGCTTCCCACTGTCAACCATACATGCCCCAGTACGCCATGAAACAAGAGGTGAAGGCGAGACAATCAGGTCAGTCTCTGGTAAGTTGTTGCTGCTGCTGCAGACCAAGTCTTGTGAAGGCGATACTGCCGGGCCTGCTGGAGGTAAGATGCTGTTGCTGGGAAACAACTTGTCACTCCCTTTCGCAACAGATTTTGAACAGGTTTCCAAGGTGTGCTTTGAGGCATTTTCACTTTTGGCTGGGGAAGCTTCAAGCGCTTGCTTAAGTCTGGAAGCCCATTGCTGCATAAGAACAAAACGAGTAATGATGACATCTGAAAGCATAAAGGGCTCATGCTCACGTAATTTTGCTTCAGAAAGAATGAAAGATTCGATGACAGTGCCCACCTTCAAAGAGGAATTAGTGTCTGACAAGAAGCAACTGAAGGATTCTATCTCTTGCTCCCCTCTTCTGGATATAGTCTGGCATTGGAGGGCGCTGGAGACCAATTTGTCAATCTGATTTAGGGGCAAAAACAGGAGAACATTATAAGAACCAGCAAATTGGCAAGCTCAGGTGTAACAGTAATGATCTATCTACAACTTAACCGACAAGAGGAAGCAGCATTACTAATCCATTCCAAGGACAGACAAGAGACAAACGTTTCAGTCCACATACAGTAAGGTACTAACCAATTCCAGGGCCAAAACAAGTGACTAAAGTTTCAGTTGGCAGACATAAATATATACAATCTCTCTGTTTATTTTCTTTGCAGAAACTGTTCTTCCATCCAATATCAGTCCAGACCAGTGATGACAACAATTCAGAGACATAGAAAGGACACTGGACGAGGCACGCCATAAAAGATTTCCGGTCAGGATGCAGATTTGCACATCCACCGTTCTTCAGTTATACTGAACAGACACCAGTACGCAACCACATGTCGTGACTGCAGACATCACAAGGCTAGGGAAAAATTCTGTGCCCCAAATCGGCACGGGGGTCGGCCAGTACAGTACAGTACAGTATTATCCAGGAATATGAGATCCTAGCAGGATACCCCCGAGCAGCGGAGCCCACCCAACCCCATCCAGACGAGCGTCGGATCGGATCGGATCGATCCATGGCACCACCGCCCAAGCTCGGACGAATCACGCGGCGCTTCACATCGCTAACCTACCTACCCAACGAGACGGGGAAAAGGGGCTACGAGGGTTTCGAGCGAAGGGCGGAGGGAGGGAGGGGTCGACCTGGGAGACGAGGCCGGGTAGGGCGGAGCTGGCGAGGAGGAGGCGGTCGAGCGCCGGCTCGGCCGCGGCGGCGGCGGCGGCGGAGGAGGGGGGAGCGGCCGCGGCGGTGAGGGTGGGGGGCTTGCGGCGGAGGGATCCGGGCGGCGCCGGGTGGGGCGTCCTGTTGCCGGAGAGGACGCGCAGGGGGCGCCGCCGCGCCGTCGACTTGGGTCCCTGGCTCTTCTGCATCGGATTGGATTGATTGCCCGGAGAGGGAGGGGGACAGGAGGTGGGTGGTGGCCAACGGTCGGGAAGGGGGGTGGATTTGAAACCCTTGCGGCTGTGCGCGTCGGTGTCGCGGTTTTCCACAAAAGGAGTGCAGACCGCGACGCCGGGGGTCGTCGCTTTGAGATTCGTGCGGGTATTTGTGAATACTATTTTAATATTAAGAAGACTAAAAATTGCCTGCCGTCCATTTTGCGTGCACGAATCTTGATGCGGACTTTGTGTCCACGTCGACGTACCACTCCGAATCACGAACTGCGCAAACAGCCAAATATGCCATTTTCTTTAATGCCCACTCCCCTCGGACTACTAGTAAAACAGGGGGATGGAGCAGAC